CCCTAACTGAACATGACTAACATAGAGGGACTGAGTATGTAACAATTACTCGAGAGTTTTCACACCAACATATGAATATACTCGCTATAGCCACACGCACGGCCTCATACGAAACATGACTAAGACACGAACTTAAGTTGCAATCGAAACTAAACATGATGCTATTATCATAACAAGATGAGGGCTGATCCTACCTCTTACTTCTTGATAACCTCCGCTAGGTGCGGCTTACGTGCGTGAACTACTATCCCTCGGTGCGCGGTGGACTAGTTGTGCGATGGTTGCTCGCGTACGGTGTGCGGTACTCTAAGCTTTCTTGCGTGTGGGACTCACAACTCTTACTAACTCTTAGTATATATATAGTACGCTGAATATATAAGGAAGAAGAATGGGAATTTTTTTCCCAATTACCCTCATATTTATACTCACGGTGCTAAGGGAAGTGATGACACCAAGCCTTGGTGGCTTCCCCTTCTTATGACACTTGCAAACCTCTTAGGAGTTAAAACATGATTAGTCATCCTATTAAGCCTCTTATGATGACACGTGTAATTGCTTGAAAGGAAGGAAAAATTATTTCCTTCTTGTTAAGGAAAGCCACGGCAATTTTTGAGGAAACAACATAAAATACTACGACTTAGGAAAATTAATTGAGAACCATTTACATAACTCACGGCAATAACACATATTAAGCATGATCAATTATTCCTTAACCTTCTTTATGCTTAATTATCTAATTAAGCATAATACTTTATCACCAATATTATTCCGAACGTAAACAGAACGTCGAAAATAATTTTGGGTAATCTCGACTGAAAATAATTAATTCCAAAAATAATAATCGACAACGTTATTATATCGGAACTAAAACATGATTTATATTAATAAACTGACGGGATATTACAATTCTCCCTCCTTAAAACTTTTCGTCCTCAGAAATTCAAAACGAACTGATTATACATGAAATACGTACATAGTATGTACATTAAAACTGAAAATCTGGAAAACGAGCTCGAATGTCAGCCTCTGCCTCCCAAGTAGCTCCGTGGCGATCCCACTGAATACGCACGAGGGGAACATATCGCTTCCGGAGCCGACGAACATGACGGTCCAGTACAGCTACCGGTCGCTCCTCGTACGATAAGTCTGGCGGAACCTGAATATCTGTATGAGGAATAACATGATCGGGGTTGCACACATACTTACGCAACATAGATGCGTGGAAAACATTATGAATGCCTGATAACTCGGGAGGTAAGGCTAATCGATACGCGACTTCGCCTACTCGCTCGAGAACTTCAAACGGGCCGATGAATCGAGGGTGCAACTTCCCTCTCTTCCCGAATCGAACGACTCCGCGAATAGGACGAACCCTGAGAAAAGCTGGCTCGTCAACCTCGAACTGAATGTCTCGTCGATGATGATCGGCTGAAGATTTCTGTCGACTCTGAGCTGTCTTGAGTCTCTGCCGGATCAACTCGACCTACTTTGCCGTCTCCTCGATCATCTTCGGACCGAGTACTCGTCGCTCTCCGACATCGTCCCAATAAAGAGGGGATCGACACTTGCGACCGTAAAGTGCCTCGTAAGGAGCCATCTGAATAGAAGAATGATAGTTGTTGTTGTACGCGAACTCAACATACGGCAACAACGACTCCCACTTAGAACCCCTGTCAACAACCAAAGCGCGAAGCATATCCTCAAGCGTTTGAATGGTCCGCTCGGACTGACCATGTGTCTCCGGATGGTAGGCTGAACTGAACTCTAGCTTCGTGCCCATCGCCTCGTGTAAAATGTGCCAGAATCGACTGACGAATCTGGGATCTCTGTCTAATACGATAGTAACGGGCACTCCGTGGAGTCGAATGATCCCACGGGTATAAATCTCAGCCAACTTGTCCAAAGACATCTTCATCGAAACGGGTAGAAAATGAGCGACCTTAGTCAATCTATCG